TCCGGCACCGCTGGACGGGGTTAGTGGTGGAGCCCGGCCAAGGCGCGGGGCGGTCGCCGGCGGTGACAGCCCCACAGCCACCCCAGATCCCTGGGCCTCCCCCGATGTTGCCTTGCTGCTCCCAGGCCCCCTGCTTGCTCCCTGGGCAGCACCCAGGGGTGCTTGGCTGCTCAGAAGCCCCCAGGGCTGTGCCCTCACCCAGCAGCCTCTGAGGTGCCTCCACAGCCCTTCGCCCACAGCACCTCCCACTGCTGCTGGACCTCAGACATGCTGCGTGGACCCTGCTCGTCCTGAAATACCCCACATGGACATTTTCCTCACCCCCAGATGCCCCACATGGATGGTATCTCAGCCCAGGATGCCCCACACAGACCCTTCCTCATCTCCAGATGCTGCAAGTGGACCTTTGCACCCCCAGGACACCTGGCACAGCCCTTTGCTCCCCCCAGAGTTGCCCCGGTGTGGTCTCTGTTCCCCCAGGGCACATAGAAGGGCCCTCCCAGCTGCCCCCGATGTCCCTGTGTCTCCCATACTCGTCCACCAGCCTCACCCTGACCCAGCACAGCCCACACCAGCCCACCCATCCCTGTTCCTGGAGGGCACCCTAGGGTCCTTCCTCCCCAACCCCAGCATCTCAGTCGCAGCTGCAGCCCCTCAAGGAGCTCTGGGGACTTTCCCAAGCAGCAGGACTGTCCCCTCATGGCACTCTTGTGTCCCTGCTGGCAGAGGCACATGAGGAGGGGGCAGTGGGCTCAGTGCCCCCCCAGCTGCCAGCGGTCCGTGCCGGGCTGGGCAGGCCTGCCAGCAGCTTTCTGGCTGGCTCCTGTGGCCTGGGGCAGCCGGGCCAAACTGCTCCCTCCGCCATGTGACGCCTGCCGGCCCGTGCGCCATAAAATGGCGAAGGGATCGCTGGGCTTCCCCTGCTCCCCGCAAGGGGTGTTTGAGCGGGGTGGGAGGTGAGATCCAAACTCAGCACCCAACATGTGGCTCAGCTGCAGCGGGAAGGCAAAAGAGCTCCCCGTGCCCCTTGGCTTCGCTGATGTGGGTCACCCTGCAAACCCTCTGCAGCCCCTGGGGCTGGGATGGGGGATGGAGCTGGGGGGGGTGGGGCTGCTGCTGCACTGTGGGGAGCCCAGGGGGAGGGGGTACAGTGCTGGGGTCCCCCCTGGTGAGGAGGGGTAGAGCGCTTGGTACCCAAACAGGTCGATCCAATCTTAAAAATAGCAAAGCATGTGCCCAGGAGGAGGATGAGGGGTGCCTGGGGGGATGATGGGGGTTCCCAGGCTCCCGGCTGTGTGTGCAGCCTGGACTGATGCCACCCATTGAATTATGGATTCCCAGCACCTCGGCCCCGCCGCTGGCAGGGTGCTGGGTGCTGCCAGCCCCATGGCGACTCCCGGACCACCGACCATGGGAACGACCACTGGGCAGCAGGGCCAGCCCTGGGAGGGGGGTCTCTGCAGGCCGGGTGCGGGAGAGCCCTGGCTCAGTGCCTGAGCACTGACAGGAACAGGGCACGGTGTTACCGGCAGCAGCGCGGGCGCAGGCGCAGAGCCGGGAGGATGCTCGGGGCTGGCGGAGCTGCTGGCGCCGATGTGAGGGCCCCAGCCCCCCCCCGGCGAGGGCAACCGCCTTCCTCCACACCACCCCCCCAGCTCTGGAGATGGGAGAGGGCTCAGCACCACTGCCTGCAAGCTCCTGTCCCCTGCCTCAGTTTCCCCTAGGGCCAGCTTGGAGCTTGTGGCAGCACAGCCCTGGCACCTACCCAGGAGCTCCCCCCATAACTCTCCCTGTACCTCTGGCCAGCCCATCCCCACAGGAGCATTACTAGGGCCCAGAGAGAACATTCTGGTCAGGGCAGGGGACATCTGGAGACCTGAGGGAGCCTGGGTACCGTGGGGCAGTGGCCCTGCTGCAAGGGATAGAGGTGGGGGAGGCTGGTGTGGGGCCATGATCTGGGGGACCTTGCGTGGCAGACCCCCCGGACTCCCCACCCACAGTGCCCTCGACTGGTCTGAGCAGCACTGTCCATCCCAATGCCCATCCTGCTGCCTGCCCCTCTCCCCAACCCTCTCCCCATCTCCCTGCCTGTCCCCCCAGGGCTGCACTTA